GCCGGCGAGCTTTTTTAGCTGACACGGATGTCTCTACAAGTATGCTATTCTTATTTGATCTTGAAGATTAACATTGTAATCTATTATTGGGGTTCATAATCCGAGATCCGTGGAAAGTCGTGTAACATCAATATACTCAATACTTGCTTTCTTTTCCTCATCATTTTCTTGAAAATTAGTTTCATCAATACTTCCTTCCTTTGCTTCATCATTTTCTCCAACAACAGCATCTTCAACACTTGCTTCCTTTGACTCGACATTTTCTTCAATAGAAATTTCCTCAATACGTTGTTTCTTTGCCTCAACATATTCTTCAATAGAAATTTGAAATATTCGTTTAAAATATCTCAACATATCTTCATACAAATCAAACAAAGCTTGCATAAATATACCAAACAATGGCTAAATAAGAGACTACAAAATATATGATTCACTTGGGACTAGATGGTATTTGATTGCTGGTTCAAAGATGATCAACTATAATCTTAGTCTTAATCGCAAACAATACATTAAGGGTCGGAGTCTTTCGATAGAGTAGTCATTTGTAAATGTAAGTATATTTTTTTAAGTATACACACTATTTAAAATTGACTAATAAAGACATGAAATTCAATTTGAGGTAGCCTTTGCTAACACATCAGCCAAAGTAGAGTCACTGTATATAATTTTGGTCCTCAAGAATTGGGTAGGGAGGATATCTAAAGATCCCAGCTTTTAGATTCCATTTTCTGGAGCTTTCTATTTCAAGAAACAGTGAGTGATTTTCTTGGAATTTTATTACAAATATGCTACATTTTTACTTAAAATCAGTCCATTAAACTATTTCATAAAGTTAATCAATTCATTCAACAATAATTTTTTAATAATNTAATCAATTCATTCAACAATAATTTATTAATAATTTTTTAGAAGCAATAACCAATCACATGCTAAATACGCATTCAGCTGCTAAACTAAAGAAAATACTAAACACCCAATGTGTGTGACCCATATTTCAATCTTTCCAAATCTCCTTCCTCTGTGCGTAAACTCAAACCACTGTCGTGACCACCACATTCCTCATATTTGAACCCATTTTGTACAGACACCCAAAGCCCATTTTCATTGTAGTTAAAAACTTAAGTCAATTGATGTCTCCAAAGAAGACAAACAAGTTTGAATCCAACCACCATATCTAGCCCCTGTTTGGTACACATTAAAACATTCTTCTACTCATTTTCAACCACACATTCTTTAATAAAATAATATTTTTCATCACATCAATAACTTTTTCTTATTTTTCAACCACAAATTCCCCATCAATCTACTATTCCAGAATACATTCTTTCAAAATAATGTGACTCAAACACACCCCTAATCTTGAAAATTGCAATTTGCATAAATAACTATCAAAACATAAATAATAAGAAAGAGAGAGAGAGATTACAAAATTTTGC